GGAATATTGTTGTTAAAAGCGGCGTAAAACTACATTTGCTCACTCACTATAATGTACCAATAAAGCTTTCCATGTTATATCACTTTTATGTTACTCAACAACTGGATTACCCTGCAGATAGTTCAAGGTTTAGAATATGGTCGAATCAAAATAGGCGGATCCTGTCAGCTAAAGTCAGATAACTCTGCAATGGAGACTGGAGCACCGTTTTGTGCAAAATATCGCGACCACCATTATTGGCTATTGAAATCAGTGGTAAACTGATGTTAAAAAGATGTTATGGGATATTTATACTAACGGACATAAATAAGGGAACGATTACATGAGTAAGCAAATATTTGACTGATATGCTCCCTAATTAAAAGTTGTGATCACGTTGTATTTGAAAATGATATATATATTAGCAACATGGCCCTCCCTTAGAGTGGGGCGGTGGGGTAACCTAGTGGTTAAAGCGTTCGCTCGTCACGCCAAAGACCCGGGTTCGATTCCCCACACGGGTACAATGTGTGAAGCCCATTTCGAGTGTTCCCCGCCGTAATATTGCTGGAATTTTGCTTAAAGCGGCGTAAAATCCAACTCACTCACTCACTTTAGCAATTTCTTGCAGCTTCATGGTGCGCGAGATCAGCCATGGCATTCATACACTGTAGCTGTTGGGGGACTCAAACTCTGGCCAAACGGTCGACGAGCATATCACATCAACGCTTTACTATCGCCCCCCCGGAGAAGAGTTAATATTGCAGACAAAAGAGTGTGTGTTTGTTTTTCCAAATCAATGCTCCTTTCATGAAAAGAACTTAAGTTTAACTTTCCGCTTCACTGATGATCTCATATAAAATCCAATATGTACATCAGACCTCGCCCATTGACATGCCCTCCAGTGGGAACGGTCCCTACTACAGGCCCACAGATTCATCATTTCCATGGACGCACTCATCATCATCTCTCAACACGGTTACGCCGAACGGGCGACTTTGAAGTTCTTTCATGTCACGTGACATTCCTTTCTCTCCATCCTTTGTCGCCTATGTTAAACATTTGGAAACAACTAACGGCATATTCCTCGTGGCGATCATAAAGGAAGGTCGTGATCGCTTGTCTTCAGTGTAGTTTGGTTTAATCATGAAAGGGATTGGCAGTTACCCTTGAAGGCCACTGATAGTCGGTGGAGATTTGAAATTTGGACATTAGTACCTTGGGTATAAAAGGCATCTCCAGTTGTTCCTTTTGTCTCACGAGTTTGGTGTCTTTCTGTGTAGAACACAAATTGAGAGAGTATGGTTTTAGGCCGCAAATCCGAGTCTTCGGTTCATCCCTGCGTTTAGAGCAAACGCTTTAATCAGTAGGCTACCCCAAATCCAAAAAGGCGAAATTTGAAAGAAGGTGTTTTTCGTGTTCCATAGTCCATAAATGAGAAATATGTTTGATTTTTCTTGTTTTTCCTATTTAAAAAACCCAAAACATTTATAAAAATGTCACTTATTTGGAATACTACCATCGCAACCTGTCAATGGATATCTAAATGTTATCACGAATCATGACCAATCGCGATAAATTCGTGTTCTTATGGAAAGGAGGTTTCTTTTCCTGTTCAACCCTATTTTCACCCCTCACCCCCTACACACACACGCACACACGCACGCACGCACACGCACGCACACACACACACACACTTACTTAAAATTTTGTGGAGTACCAAAATATTACAAATTCTAATTATCTATTGTGAGAGGTTTTAACGGTGCTTCCCCACGCCGATGATCTTGATAAGATGTTGGGCATCGAGTGACGAGGCAAGGTTAAATCGGGTAACATCTTACCCAGTACTTTCATGGACACCCCCCAACCCACCCCACAAACATACAAACCACCAACAACAAAATGAACAAAACAAAACAAGAGATACACACAAAACCTTTCCAGCGGATAACCTGAATGTTGGGTTACTTTGGTCCCCATACCCGACGGTAATGTTTTGCCAAAGTTTGTAATTTCTTGAGTGAAACCCAACATTTACGACTATACTTTCATTTGTCCCGTGGTTTCCATGAGGTGGCATGAAAGAATGCAGTGATCATAGTGATATTCATATCCGAGACGATGAGAAATGCCAAACGACGTGAAAACGCGATCAAGAGGATAAGTTATCTTAAAGGCCTACAGGCCTCGCAAGCCTTATGATTCACCGATGCTAAATGAGACATAAGCGACAAATGTCCATCAACATCATAAGAGGATTCAGTATATACCTTCCGGTCAAAATATCAAAGGTCGGCACATGTCAAGCGGAATGTAACTACTATGAGGGACGCCTCATATACTTCATTTCTGCGCATGGTCTGGCGCATGAACACTCGGGATCTCTCGGCTTCTTCTGCTCACTTCATGATAAGCCGATTGGACCGAAAAACTTGTGTTAGAGCTTTAACATACTTTATGAGTGATTGAGTTTGGTACAACGCTATGTGACAACGTATTTCATGTATATCACGGTGGGTGAGGTTTATGGTGAGGTAATTCTATGCTGTTTTTTAGCTTTACTAGGGTGAAACCTAGGGCTGATCTTTAGAGCACAACTTGGTTTCGGTACGCTGGATGTTGAGTTCTTCTGAGCGGTATTCTAGATGCCGCAGCGCTGTACACTGGGTGCCATGAATGAGTAAGTGAGTCAGGGTTTACGCCGCTTTTAGCAATATTCCAGCAAATCACGGCGGGGGGACACAAAAAATGGGCTTCACACATTGTACCAATTTGGGGAATCGAACCCGGGTCTCCAGCGTGAAGAACGGACCATTAAGCTACACAACCAATGGATAATATGACATCTGTATAAAGTACGCGAACCCGTGAAGATCCGGGTTAGAATTGGTCTTCAGTCACCAATGCTTGTCGTAGGGGGCGACTAACGGGATCGGGTGGTCAGGCTCGCTGACTTAGTTGACACATTGTATCCCAGTTGCGTAGATCGATGGCCATGGTGCTAATCACTGGATTGTCTGGTCCGGACTCTATTATTTACAGACCGCCGTCATATAGCTGGAATATTGCTGAGTGCGGCGTTATACAAGAAACAAATGAATAGGGTACGAGAATACCAATAACTCAATGTTCAACGGTATATTTGGACTCTCTTAATGCTAGGGGTGACAAACCAACAAAGTGATATGTACCCATAAGCTAAGAGCGCGCATTGTTACGCATTTTATATGAAAATCCATGTCTAACATATTTGTAACACATGTGTACACTATCTCCAAAGACATAACAACGTATGGTATGGATTTACAACACGACGTGTCTGGGCTACTTCTTGCCCCTTCATTCACCTGATGAAGGGTCAAGAAGTAGCCGAGAAACGTCGTGTTGTTTAGAATGAGGACGTTGTAATCCATACCCTATGTTGTTATGTTACCTTCCAACTTCTCAATGCCCATCAAGCATCTATCTCCAAATTTAAAGCGTTGTTAAACAGGGTGCCAAGACAAATTACGTGGTATGCCGGATGCCAAGATGGATGATGGGTTGGTACTCTAAAAACTATAGGAGTGGTGAGGTAGCCTAGTGGTTAAAGCGTGCGCTCGTTACGACCCGGGTCGATTCCCCATATGGGTACAATGTATAAAGCCCATTTCTGGCGTCCACCGCCATGATACTGCTGGAATATTACTAAAAGCGAAGCAAAACCAAACTCAAACACGCACGGTAATAAGGAAATTCTTATGCGTGTTGTCGACCAATGGCATTCAGTCAAAATTATGGCTCCTCTTAGGTCATTACGAGATGGTGCGTCAAGGGGAATATTGCTACAAGCGACGTAAAAGTAAACTCACTCACTCACTAAAAATTACGAGTTTAATGCTGATCACAGGCAAACTGTACGGTAGCGCAAATAGGGTTGCGCAACAAAGCAAAAAGGGCCAGACTTCCTATATGCGAGTAAAGCGAGCGTTTGCGAGGAAGACTGGTCATTTTCTCTTTGTTGCGCAACCCCATTTGCGCTACAGTTTGCCTGTGTGCTGACATACTGGACATACGTCAAGGGAGAACAGTAGTGAGAACCCTTGAACAGGTTTCTGTCAAGACTGAGGAGAGGAATTCTGCACACTGAGGTCGATCTATCGCTGCTTTCACTGGCTACTCACATGTACATGGATCACAGTTGATTGCTTGTGAAAATAATAGTTATATATCACAACCTCAACTCTGAGAGTTGCTCAGCAGGTGTGAACGAGTCGCCTTACAATCAGCTCGCTATCTGAAAATGGGCCCACAGTCAACAAACCAAGGCTGTCGACAGTCACCCTGTTACCAAGCCGTCCATAGTAACTGTGCGTCATGTGCCGCGGGGGGACTGAGAAGGGTCAGTGAGGCTACTCTGGGGGTCACACGCCATAATTCCACTTGTCCCTCCCCCTGTCGTTTGTCATTACAGTTACCACAACAATCCTCAAATCGATGAAAACATATCAAAAATGATAAAGCTCACATCTTGACTCCGCTTGAAGAGAGGCCTTGCTCCGCGGCGCTCCCGTCGACAGTAGGGGCTTATGAGAGGCTGATGAGCTTTTACTAAAGTTATATACCGTCGTAATGACACAAGGTTATAGCTTTAAAGAAATTTAAATCGTAAACCAAATAACTCGGACGGGAGTTCTGATTTCCCACGCTCTCCCCGTGCCCCGCTCGCCGAGGTGTTTTGGTGTGTCGGGTATCTGCGTTCCTGGCCGCATATATCCCCCAGGTAGAGGGTTGGGGGGACCCAGGTGACGTCTACCTGGCCGCGAGGTGGGGGCGGGGTTTTCCCACACTCCTTCTGAAGCCTGGTCGCGTGCCTTCATTACCATATGAACAATTTTCCTGGTTGACGGGCGTGTTCAGGCATGCGCCAAGGCGTGGTGCTGCTCGCGACGTTATTTCAACCAATGACTGATCGCAACGCCACGAGTTGGGCGGAGCGTAATGGAACGTGATTGACACGCGAGTTGAGACGGTGTAACGTTCCCGTGTGTCTGTGACTGTCACACGAAGCGCATGGTGTAGGTATTTTATCGATATACGCGCGTGCTGGGCAACATTCCTCCACAGAAGGGACACGATCTGAACTCGTGGAACATAACACAGACATGAGATCTGAGAAGTCAGCGTCGGCGAGGGACTCTCGCAGGGTATGAACAACAAAGTATTCAATTGTCGGATTGTTGATGTTTATATAATATACATATATATAATAATAGAATATGGGTGGAAGAGTGTATGTTTCGTTTCTGTTTTCAGATCAACAAACCGATGATGGAAAAACGGAGACGGGCCAGAATAAACGCCAGTTTGTCGGAGCTGAAATCTTTACTGTTAGATGCTATTAACAAAGAGGTAAATATCTTAACATATTTTTATCATATGAACTTATAACCTGGAAAAGACATTTGAAAAAGGTGTTAAATCCTGCCTGTTACATCTACCGCGTCACGGGTTGAACAGGTTGCAAATGGCTTGTACTGGTGACTATTACACTTGTAGTCACAATGACCAGTACGGAGGGATAAATTGGAGCCGTGACGTCGTTGAGTGTCGTCACGGATGCCGTGGGCCAAGCAATACATAGCTGCAGGCTATCACACGTACATATCACTATGATCGGCAACAAACCACTGATTCACTCACTCACTCACTCAAATGATGTGATATCATTTACATGTGTACAAATTGTAGCTGTCTTAAAGGCTGTTGCGCTTTGAATCAGACTGTGAATCCCCATTTTAGAATTTAGTAGACATCAATGTAGAGCTTGTACGAGAATGCCACACTACCTCTCAACACTAACCTCAGAGGCTCTTTTTGTCTCGAAGCATTCTCGAAATGTCTGTCATACCACATTCGCACGGTATGGTAATTATACGAAGGTAGCGTTTAATTCTACAAACGTATCCTTTCCCCAAGTGGAAGGCCTTAAATACGTCAACGCGCCTCGTTATTCGAACGACCGGCGATTTTCATTAAGGATATCTTCATAATTCTGCCAAACTACCGCAGAAATTCTGCAGAACGTTTTCCGGAATTATCGATATTACGTTTCCGGAAATTTACCGTGTTAATGAGGTACACATATATGAGCAGTAGTGTGGATTCACACAGAGGCAGGGTGAAGGGGCAGACTTGTCTGAGGCCACATGCGTCTTCGTCGACACATACTACCCAGTCTTAGACAGGGATACTGTATTGGTTCATGTTCTTTAAACGCACAGGGTGTGAATAACCAGTTTGACTTATCACGGAATATAAGCAACAGCCCTATCAAATGCTGTGTAGTTTGGGTGTATGTCTACATTCACAATACGTAACTCGGTAGTATTGAAAGCGTCCTTGCTTGTCTCACACGGACTTTCAACAGATGCGGGTGACTGTCAGCAAGCCGATTAATGGATGTATCGGGAACACTTTCCACGTTCACCATTGGAACGCAACGAGAATGTTTTCGTTTCGTTTCTAATCCCTTGCACTCTCTGTTTGACACGGCTTGTGGTCTGTGGATTATTATGGAACATATAAATGTATGTATTTGGTATTTATTGCCACTGTTGACCCTTTTCGATGTGCTGAAAGGCGGTAGGGTAGCCAAGTTGTTGCAGTGTTCGCTCGGGAAATTCCGGTTTCGATTCCAGATGCGTGGAGCCTATTCCTGTTGACTCCGTCGAGATTTTCCTGGAATATTGGAGAAAACCCAAACTCATTAACTCACTCAATATATGGAGTATCATATCGGTAATTAAAATGTTATTTGCTAATTGATACCTTTCTGATTGCACTCACTAACTCAAGGATAATCGACGTAAATGTTGAGACGAACTATTCTTCGAAAAACAGTGGTATCGGCTTATTCGATCAGCTGATGAAGGCAGATTTGAGAGGGTGGGGTGGGGGTGGCGGGGTGGTGACAAGGCGAATTCACTCGCCCGCATCACAATTTTTGTAATTAATGATATAATTATATTTCATCATAATGTTAAATAGGTTGTGAGAAAATGTCGAGATGGACTTATTAAGACAAAATTTCAAGAGATTTTTAATGTACATGTACTCATATTGATAGCGACAGTTTATGACAGTATTTCTGTCTGCGGAATGAAAACTCCCACTATTTTAAATTTTCATGCAACTCTCCATTTGTTCAGAAACAAGGAGTTTCGAACACATAGTGAGTGAGTGGGTTTAGTTTCACACTGCTTTTAGCAATATTCCAGCAATATCAGGGAGTGGGACACCAAAAAAAGGGTTTCACACAATGTACCCATGTGGGGAATCGAACCTGGGTCCTCTGCGTGACGAGCGAACGCTTTAACCACTAGACTACCCCACCGCCCCGACTATCCTTGAGGTAGTGAATGCAATCAGAAAGGTATCACTTAGTTTTAGTCATTGATCCGCTCAGGCTGTGGCTCTTTAAGGTGCTGAACAAAATTGGGGACCTTCCATATGCCTCAATGTGCTGCTCGTTAGATTACACATGATGTTGCACCACTGTTCTGCTCCCACCACAGCCGTGGAAGTGACTTGTCACAGTCACTGCTGATTATACTTATCAGTGAATAATCAACAATGTAACTCAATTTATTTTTTGTCAAAGGGTGGGCGTCACAACAAGATGGAGAAGGCGGACATTCTGGAGATGACAGTCAAACACCTGAGAGAGATCCAGAGACACTCGCTTACAGGTTAGACCCTCCACGCCCCATTTCACACAACATACCTGTCCTTAAGCCACCTGTCAGATGCCCGATCCAACATACCTCACATTGTAATGGAAATAACAATATCTTATGTAGCATTAGAGTAGCAGGTGAGTGACCGCAGTCTCCCCTTACCTGTACTTATCGTTGATTGACAGGTGAGATTGTACCACCCAACGCTCTACCCGCCTTCATCTCTGCAGCAACCTGTATATATCAACATCGGCTTGTGGCATACTTTTACATGCATGTCATTTTGTTGTCATCGTCGCGTTGATAGATTTGATGAGAGCGGTGGCTGTTAGAATAAATTACAGATGACGTCAGAGGATGAGAAACTCGGGTTGAACACCGATTTGAATAGTTGTCCATGTACTTATGTGTTTGTATTTACGTTATTTAACGCCCCACTCAGCAATATTCCAGCTCTATGGCGGCGGTCTGTTAATAATCGAGTCTGGGCCAAACAATCCAGTGATCAACATCATGATCATCGATCTACGCAATTGGGAAACGATGGCATGTGTTAAACAAATCAGCGAGTCTGACCACCCGATACCGTCAGTCGCCTACAACGACAAACATGGGTTGCTGAAGTCCAATTCTCACTGGTTATTTATCTAATGCCTGATGTTCACCACTTCCCCATTTGTTAAAGCCCATGGGCACGGCTTTGAAACTATTGAGTGTGAATTTGGGAGACGGAAGAGGGTGAAAGAATTGAAGCTCAACACTTTCACCATTAGCCCTGAAACCGACCCATTTTAACTGAACTGTTCTCACATTAATTTTTAAATTGTCTTACTTCAGATACAGCGGCGGAAGACCCAAGTAGCAATAGTTTAACCAAACACCGCCATGGTTACAATGAGTGCAAACAGGAAGTCAGCAGGTACCTTGATACTGTCGCCGGATGTGACGCAGAACTCAAAACGCGCGTTTTAGACCACCTAACATCTAAGACAATGACGTCACTTCCGGATGAATCAAATAGGGAGATTGCATCGCCGGCTGTATCCAGTAACCAGATCCTGCCTTCGACGGAATTACCAAAGAATGACGTTGCCACGGATATCAACAACAACGTAGCGAGCGTGACGTCACTGGCACCGGAAACGGCGCAAGTATTTAGTGCGATGCAAGTTATACCGACAAAACTCTCTTCTGGGGAAGTAGCTTTTGTTGTGCCTGCGAACATTGTAAACAGCACTCAGGTGTCGAACTATGCTGTGCCTGCCAGTTTTCAGAACACACCATCTTTGTCTAATCACATTTTGTCAGGAACGCCTGTGACGTCTGTAGCGACAACTCAAATTCTAACGCTTCCCACGCCCTCAACAGTCTACCCGATGACACAGGTCTCAGGGAACATCGCCATCATCCCATGTTCGGGCATTGCTGAGACATGTTTTGTCTCAGCACCTGCACAACTTTCTAATTTACCAATGAAGCACGTGCAACACGAGCCACACGTGCAAGTTCGTGAGCAAAACCTAAATGACATCCATGGCAGCCATTTTGAAAGTAGAGATAATTTAGAATGTGGGAAAGGTTCAATCTGGAGGCCGTGGTCGCACATTTAAGAGGTTTCACCATTTGCGGGCTTCGGTGTGATATTCATTGTTACGTTCCTTAACTGTGCCAGGATCCGCTTATATATGGTTCTAAACTCCAATACTGATCCTGGACTTATCGGCACTCGCAGCAGTTAAAGTGCAAGGATAAACTACTGCGGGCCAGATCTGAGGAACAACGACATCTCGAAAGACTGTGATACAGCGAAATTGTTGATTCATAGAAAACATTTATGTAATATATTCATATTTTTGTATAACTTCATCGGTTACAAATATACCACAGTGCTATGCATTTTAGAAGCGTGTTGTTGTTTTTGCCCTGAGCTATTCGTAAAAAACTTCTCCAAGGAATCTATGTTTTTTCCTAGTGCTTACACTAATGTAACAGAAATACTGTTCTCATTGGTGCCATATCTATGCTAACTTATTAATAGACATGTCGAATGACAATATTCTGGTGTCCCCCGCCGTGCTATTGCTGGAATATTGCTAAAAACGGCATAAAACTAAACTCATTCACTCACTCGAATGACAAAAGGAAGTTAAAGCGTTCGTTCCGGGATGGATTTCAGAATGAGAACAATTAGTCAGCCCTTGTCCAGACGTACGGACTGTTTATGACTTAAGACAGCAGCATAGGGACAGCTGGCGGTACTTATTTGGCCTGAGGAGGCATGGCTGTGCAGAGTTGCGTCCCTTGATTACGCGACAAACCTATGCTCGTGGGTTCGAATCCCGATTCATCCCGTCTATGTTTCTAGGTTTGTCCGCCTCATCCGAAAGACCTGGGCTTTTCTCCCATTGTGTAAACGAAGTATCAAAAGTCTGTGGAAATGAAGTAGTGAGTGAGTGAGTGAGTTTAGTTTACGCCGCACTCAGCAATATTCCAGCTATATGGTGGCGGTCTGTAAATAACGAGTCTGGACCAGACAATCCAGTGATCAAAAGCATGAGCATCGATCGGCGCAATTGGGAACCGATGACGTGTCAACCAAGCCAGCGAGCCTGACCACCCGATCCCGTTAGTCGCCTCTTACGATAAGCATGGGTTACTAAAGATTCATTTTAACCCGGACTTCACGGGTCGGAAATGAAGTAGAAATACAGAGGCTTGACGTGGGTAGGCAACTGAATGGATCGTCTCTACAAGCTACAGGCCCGGTACTTGGTTGACAGCGTGTCACGGATCCCTAAATTTCTATCAATCACTGGATTGTCCAGTCCTGATTTAATTATCCGTAGACCGCCGTCTTACAGCTGGAATTTTGCCAAGCGCTGAGTTAAACAACGCGTGTCAAACGTTGTAGTCACAACTATTTAGGTACGATCGCTTCGGAAATAGTCAAAGTTATGTGGCTACTTTGAATTGCCCTCTGTTGTAGAGGACCATTTAACCATAATCTCATCTCATCTAAATTATACCTCTTACTGTTCGATGATTACAGACCTTTCTACGATATAGAAAATCACAATAGCAGGATCTTCCGGCATCATTGCCCTTTTAACGTCGATTGCCATTGTGAACGATCTCAAAATACAAAATATATTGTCATAATGAACGATTTCACAATACATAAAGTATATTGTCATAGTAATGGACCCAAATGGTTTGAAGTAAAGTGGATAAGTAAAACATATCACAGGAAATTGTACTCTCCGTGATACAATACAGCGATTGAACATACGAAGCTTGTATTCATTGAACCGGTTGAAATTGCATGGGGGGATGGCCTTCAGGCTGAACAATTTAAAACGTACGTTTCAAGTCTCCAGATCGCATGATAAACTTAAAAGAAATACGTACATATTGTATGAGTCAGTCGTGCAATAGCATGCCCCCGGTATTCATAGCATGCTGTTCCGACCAGATGTTCCTCATCGCATCATGGATGTATTCACTGTTTGCAAATACATTGACAATAGAATCGGCTGTATTTTCCTTCGAATGGGTTAGGCATAAAGGTTTGACTACATCAACAAAATAAATAAGCAGAAGTACATGTACATTAAAATGTGTCGTGTCTTGTCTGTTTTGCCCCTGCTGGGCAAACGCGGAAGTAAGAATATGTTTTAAATTTTGATATTGGGTCTGATATTGAATACCACACATGCAAGGACGATGGGTGGCCTGTGGTTAAAACGTTGGATTGTGACGCCATCTATCCGGGTTCAATTCCAAACACTGGTAGACTGTATTCCTCAAATTCAGGTGTCCCCGTCGTAACGAGGCTTGTCTATTTTATGAAAGCGACAACAAATAATAATCACTCAATCAAAGATCAAGACCTTTTTTAGGTTTTACGTTGAATTGGAAAGTGTTTCATTTGTACGACGAGATGTCAGGTAGGTGGTAGGCTACAAATGACGTTATATTTACTGCATAGGTGAGAGCCAGAGGTATACTACTAACAATTAGATCCTGGTACAACTAAGGGAGGCAAATGGCCACGGGTATGCTACTAGCAATCAGGTCCTGGTACAAACTGAGGAATGCAACTAACCACGGGTATGCTAATAGCAATCAGATCCTGGCACAACTAAGGCATGCAACTAACCACGGGTATACTACTAGATATCAGATCCTGATACAAACTAAGGGATGCAACTAGCCACGGGTATGCTACAAGCAATCAGATCCTGGCACAACTAAGGGAGGCAACTAGCCACGGGTATGCTACTAGCAATCAGATCCTGGTACAACTAAGGGAGGCAAATGGCCACGGGTATGCTACTAGCAATCAGGTCCTGGTACAAACTAAGGGAGGCAACTACCCACGGGTATGCTACTAACAATCAGATCCTGGTACCTGGTAGGCAACTAGCAATCGGGTCCTGGTACAAACTAAGGAATGCAACTAACCACGGGTATGCTAATAGCAATCAGATCCTGGCACAACTAAGGCATGCAACTAACCACGGGTATACTACTAGATATCAGATCCTGATACAAACTAAGGGATGCAACTAGCCACGGGTATGCTACAAGCAATCAGATCCTGGCACAACTAAGGGAGGCAACTAGCCACGGGTATGCTACTAGCAATCAGATCCTGGTACAACTAAGGGAGGCAAATGGCCACGGGTATGCTACTAGCAATCAGGTCCTGGTACAAACTAAGGGAGGCAACTACCCACGGGTATGCTACTAACAATTAGATCCTGGTACAACTAAGGGAGGCAAATGGCCACGGGTATGCTACTAGCAATCAGGTCCTGGTACAAACTAAGGAATGCAACTAACCACGGGTATGCTAATAGCAATCAGATCCTGGCACAACTAAGGCATGCAACTAACCACGGGTATACTACTAGATATCAGATCCTGATACAAACTAAGGGATGCAACTAGCCACGGGTATGCTACAAGCAATCAGATCCTGGCACAACTAAGGGAGGCAACTAGCCACGGGTATGCTACTAGCAATCAGATCCTGATACAACTTGGATGCAACTTTACAAAGCATAATGAAAAATCACCTCTTACGTCAATGCGTGCACGTCCCGTTTAAGTTTAGTGGGACAGTTTGGTAGTCTTGTGACGAAAACGTTCGCTTGTGGCGCCGAAGGCCCGAGTTCAGTTCCATTTATGATTTCACAACACAAGGTCAATTATTGACTCGGGTTGCGTTTATAAGAAAACGTCCTGTAAATGTATTGCTTCCGGGTTGATTAAAAAAAAATGAAATATGCAATATCATATTTTTAAATAAAATTAAATTGCATCATTGTTTGGCAAGACACCTGTGTCCGCGGTCGGTATACGGGCGCCCTGCAGCTGATGGGATCGGGATTGTAATTCCTTTTCGTTCTCTCTGATCTCACCAGTTAATATAATGAACTAGGAAGTGGTTGGTAATATAATCGTGATATAAATCTCTTCAAAGAAGCTGCTTGCTCGTAAATGTCGATATCTGTACCTCTGACTTAACGCACGGGAACACACTAGGAGCCATTCGACACCGTTCGGCCATTTCCGTGAGCTGCAAGACTTGTGACACTGATGAAAACACGACGGCCCAATAAGTGAGTTTGGTTTTACGCCGCTTTCATCCAGCAATGTTAATGGGGAGAATCGATCCCGGGTCTTCCGCCTGAAGTCGGAAAGCTTTAACCATTGGGCCACCCCACAAACTCTGGCCCAATAAGATTGCGCGTGGCTTCACGGACTTCGATGAAAGGAACTTTCAAGAATATTTTGGGATTCTAAATACGTCTTGTATCTTATTGAGTTCAATCACATTATATCTGAGCTACAGTCCGCAATATATACATCTGCAATATCAAGATATTGTAGGAAATATTTGTAGCCCCACGAGTTGACAGTACTTTCAGATATGCCCGTTTGCACTCAGACGGTACCCAGTCGCAAAAATGGTCACGTAAGCGGCACGAGTCGCTATTCGACTTTTTGTCACGGAATGACTCGAGTTGAAATTTACCACATGGGAGCCTTGTCACGATGACATTGTTGAATCAGTTCTCATGAGAGAAAAATTCATAAAAATACTGCGCTATAAATTGCTAATACCGCTTCTCATCATCATTTCAGAGCTTCGGTGGTTTATAATTAAATATAAATTGTAACTTTTTGTTTCAATTAAAACATAACATACATAGAATGACCAAACAACTTCTAAAGTATTACCATTTCCATGTTAAAACACAACAAGATCAACAACGCACCTGGTAGATATACAGATTTGGTTAAGCAAAAAAGTTATTGCCTTGAGAAGATCCTGGTGTATATCAGTGAGTGATCAGATTAAACACACGTGTCTTCAGCAACCCATGCTTGTCGTGAGAGGCGACTAACGGGATCGGGTGGTCAGACTCGCTGATTTTTTAGATGTATGTCATCGTATCCTAGTTGTGTAGATCAATCACTGGATTGTCTGGTCCAGACTCAATTATTTACAGACTGCAATCACAGAGCTGGTATTCTGGTCTCGCCTTCATGGTCAACCGTGTATGTCAGCTTCATTGTGTGGTCAGAAGGTCAATAAAAATATTCTGAGATCCATCCAAGTAACACTGACATTTATCTTGGATCACACATAAAAGTCGTTTTCTGATTGGCTGAGCGCTCTGCTATTATTTTCAATGTACCCCGCTTACAAGCGAGTAACATTTTCTATGTACCCCGCTGGGAATGCCGAACTCATTTGGTACTTCATAGTAGAAATTTGTTATCTCGAATAACATTGAATCGCGTATGATGTACGGAAATTACCGATATTTTGCGAATGCAAATCGATGGAAGGGAGATAACTCTAAATTTGTTTTCTTGTCGTCTGGTA